CTTGATGAGCATAAATAATGTGTGCTAAGCAGGTATGACCTATGTGAAAGTGTGTGGCCAAGAAGAGCAAGTCACTCCACACCAGAAAGACTGTCATAAAGCAGGAACTGGAAAACGTGTGTCAAGAACAACAGAGAAAATATTTGAGGATTTGCAGGCCATATGGTCCCTGTCCCAACTACTCAACTCTGCTGTCTTAGTGCAAAAGTAGACACAGGTAAGACACAAACACGGGAGCTTGACTATGCTCCAAAGGAACTACCAAATCAGACAGAAGGACACATTTGGCCTAAAGGCTGTAGTTTGCTAATCCTTACCATAAATGAAATTCTGCCTGTTTGAGGTCTAAATAGCAAGATTTCTAAAGGCTGGACTCTAAGGAGGTAGTAGTATACCAGTTGATAAAGGAGGCTCTTTGCATATAGATGTGTGAATCTTAGCTCTGGCACTTCCTAGATGTGTGTTCTGGCCAAATTACTTAATTTCTCTAACTCTCAATGTCTTCATCTTCAAAATGATAGTGCCTATCCCTCAGGGGTTTTGTAAGCAGTAAAATGGGACAACGGTGCACGATAACCCCTTAGCATAAGGCCTGTTCTCCAGCAAGTGCCCAGGAAATACTGGCTGATATTACTAGTCATTAATGGAAATTAGTAAATAATGAATAGGGAGGTGGGAACTTACAGAGGGTACAACAGGATGGAGACGACAACAGAAACCCTGGGATTTGGGAGCAGTAGTTGTCATATTGAGTCCATTGAGCATTTGGAAGTAAGACTCTATCCTCTGTAAAATTTTCTTCTGAGCTTCAAATTTTACCTGCAAAAGAACACAGCAAAATGAATCAAAAGATTTTGTAGTTTCACATCAAGGAATGGAAAACAGGACAAAAGATGTCCCATAGACTCTTGGACCATGGTCTTAGGAGATAAAGGTGGACCAAGAACAGACCTAATAATGCTAGAGAAAGGTCAAGAACAAGCTGTTCATAATCTCATCCTTTTATCTGACCTTTCAGACTGAATACTCATGGTATATGCCTGTGTTGTGCAGCAGAACTTGTTAATAATGGAAATCTTCCATGTCTACATTATGTTCTATGTACATGGTAGCCACTCGCCCCAAGTAGCTACTGAGCACTCAAAAATATGGCTAGTGGGACTAAATTTTTAATCTCATTTAATTTTAATTAACCTACATTGTCAGCTCTACTATAATGTGACATTAACTACACAACTCTATGCAAAATCGCACACATAAAATAAGAATCACAGGGCTTGTGGGAATAACAGCATTAGGCACTCAACATTATAAACTTTTATCAGTAAACCCACAGAAAAGATAGGAGCCTAATGAAAACAGGAGCACCATTTTACATACACCAAATGGTTAAGAAAAATGAAAATAAGGCCAGCAGGTAGCATGGTGGTTAAGGTGTTGTACTTGCACACAGCTGAACACAGTTCGAATCCCAGACCTGGTGACTCACTTTCTCACTTTCCCTCTCTCTCTCTAGTGAGTGCACATGCCCTTTAGCAAATTAACAACAACAACAATAATATTAATTCTTTTCTTTTTTAAGAAAAAAAATACAAATACCATGGTAAGGCTAGCACTTTATCCTAACAAAGACCTAAAGTTTGCTTGTGGAATGTTGGAAAAGTTGCAGCTTGGAGTTATTGTGAGGTGGTAAAAGGAGGGTACTGAGTCAAGCAAAAGTTCTAACACTACATATTGATGGATGTAGCTCGTGACACTCTCAAGGAACCGAGGAAGGTCAGGAGATGAGTGTGTGAGTGTGTTCATCTTAGGCATTCTCACAAAGCTCAGTTCAGCTGGGTGCAGTTTCCTTCTTCCATCTAGCATTTCTCATGGACGAAATCATTCCTAAGCAAACGTGAAATCAGTATTATGCTCAAATTGTTCTCTAATATGTCAATCCATTGGAACAAATTTCCATCTTCAAAACAAGCATTATAACAGAATTGACTGTATTTAAATTTAAATAGCCACATGTGGCTAGTAGCTACCATGCAGGAAAGTGCAAATATACGTAACATAGCAAGAGAACTGCTACTCACACATACAGGCCTTAAGAATGAACAAAAAGCAATGAGACCAGCAGTTAGCGTAATGGCTATGTCGCTGGACTCCCATGTAGTCGACCATGGTTCGAGTCCCGCACCCGGTGGCTTAAACTCACGCTGGGCGCATGTGCGTGTGTGCCCAAGATCCCGAGAGGAGAACGGAGGAGAAGGGATTGCGGCATGGCCATCCTCCCTGGGGGATGGTTTCTCGCTATCTGTCTCTCTCTGTCTGTCTGGCGAGCACATGTGCCCTATATCATAAACCTCTCCAAAAAAAAAAAAAAAAAGAATGAACAAAAAGCAAGGAAGAAAGGAAATAGGCATTTGGATCTATGTGCATATCTAGCCTTTGGAAAATAAAACTGGTCTAAACTTCAATTTTTGGGCTCATTAGCAAATTGGGTTTAAGGAGCTGCTTAGGCATCTCTGCAGAGCTATCCAGTCAAGCTTCCTACAAATCTAGTGCCATTCCCCTGCTGGAGAGGTGGGGTAAAGACAAGCTGGTAGACAAGTGGTATCAGGACATCAGCCAGCCTTGCAGAAAATAATTCAGATATTTCATTAATTATATAGATACAGACTAAGCACCTACTATGCGAAAGTACCCCCTGCCACCATTTTCTCCTGTGTTTTACTTATCTATCATTCAGAAACCCATTACTCTCATGAGGCCGCCAGGTGGTGTGGTGGTTAAGGGCACTAGACTTCCACAGGCCGACCACAGTTTGAGTCCTGGACCTGGCAGTTTTCCTTTTCACTTTCCCTCTTTCTCTCTCTCCTTCTCTCTCTGTTTCTCTCTGGTCAAATTAAAAATAAGTAAATAAATAAATTTAAAATAATTCCTTATAAAAAAGAAACCCTAACTCTCATACCCCTAGGGAGATGGAGCCTGGGAGAAGAGCCCATTTTGGTGCTGTCTACTTAAGAAAGCAAACAGATGGGCAAACCTAATATAAGAAAAAATCCAGATTTATCAGGAGGTAACTAATCATATTACAAAAGGCTTCGCTGTTGGATTCCTTTAAATAGCTCAGCTCCTAATGCTTTTAAAATATAATTTGATTTAGAAAATTCATTTGTTAACAAAAAATGAGGTATATCTGTGTTTGCATGGCTGCTGTGGGACTGTTCGTTTCTAATCTATCAACATCATTCTGGGTCCCTGGTTTTTGGCATACCTGACCTGGACTTTCTTAAACACAAGGTCTCAGTTTAAGGTCCTTTCTGACAAAAATACACTCAAAGGCAAAGAAAACATTTTCTACGATCTCCAAGTATTTCCACCAATATTCTTCAGATGTCCTCACATTTGCCCAGGGTAATATACCTCAGGTGACCCTTGCATTTTTTTTTTTAAGTTTTGCTATAGGGTACGTGTGCTCACAGAGAGGTGGAGAGAGGGAAAGTGGAAAATCACTCCACAGGGAAGATGACCGTGCCACAATTCCTTCTCCTCTTGTTGTTTTGAGCATGTATGTACATGTATCCAGCATATTTTTCAAGCCACTAGGTACAGAACTCAAACTGTGCAGTTGGCCAAGTGGGATCCAGCTGCCTTAACTACCACATCACTGACTGGACTCCCTTGAATTCTTGCAATGCCACTTTAAGTTACATTAGGTATACAGAATTACAGTAGACCCACACATTCAGACTTGCTAAAGAGAGAATATATCAGCTTGGGCCTTACCTTTTCTGTCAGGAACCATTCAGTGGTCCAAGATGACTTGGCTTATTCTGACTTTTTGGTCCTCTTTGACACCTCTTTGCTATGACATAGGTGAAATTGCCCTTACTTGCTGTGCCCAAAAAGAGTTGTGACTAACTTGGTGACTTTCTAGTACACCAGGGAAACAGTCCTAGTTTGGAAAAGAGACTCCCTCTGGAGAGGAAGCACCTCAGGCTGTGCATTGGGACTCTTCTTTTAAGGCCAGCCATCCAAAGACACACTGACATCCACCTGCATGAAAGTTAGACATAGAGAAGCTGGAAAAAGGAGACACAACTCCCAAGCCCCTTTATTTATGTACAAACCCTATGGAAGTCCAGCATTTAGCATAATGCTGGTAGAGGAGAGACTGGGTAAAAGCAGGCCTGTTGGACCTAACTAAATTACTGCATGAAAGACACTATCTTAGAATTCCAAAATGAGGAGATGAGGAAAATACAGCCTTTGTCCTCTTGGAAAGAGTTCAACCCTGTGGATACAATTCTCTGACCTAATCTCTTTACCTATTCCACCCTCCCACCCAATAGCCAATCAATTGACTAATATTTAGTAAGCACTTACTAGGCACTTGACACCATGCCACATTAGATACTACAAAGGTTACAATCTAATTGAGGAAAACAAATGCTGACATAGGAAGCAGCTAGATGGTGGCATAGCAGTAAAACCCAACACTCTACAAGGCTAACCCACATAGAAAGATTGTGGTTTGCATCTAGAGGTCTCCTTGAGTATGCCAGGCACACATGTGTCTATGATCCTGCGGAGGGTTGAAGCTGGGGGTGGACTGTGGCATCAGGACTCTATCAGAGGTGTTATAGCTCTCTGTGTATATGTCTCTTTCTCCCACCCATGGGATGAGTAAATAAACGCTTAAAAAATGCTGACATAGGAGAGATGTTAGTAACACAACATGCTTGGTTCCTAATCAACCAGGAAATGCTTCCCTAAGTAGGTATATTGTCCTGTGAGATGAATTAGACATTTGGAGGGCAGGGAGTAGACTGGGCTTGCTAAAATGGTAGTTCATTTTAGGAAATTAAAGCAATAAGGCTAAAAATGTTAAGTCAAAATGTATTTTGCAGGAACTTCAATGCCTGAATAAATATGAACTTTTGTGAAGGAAGCAGTGAGCTTCTGAAGACTCTATGTAGAGAAATAAAATAGGGGAGGTCAAGAAAAAGCAAGTTCACATGTCCAAGACATCCTATGTTTGAAAAAAAAGTCAAATGGAAACTTCTAACAAGTAATAAACAGAGAAGCAGTATGAGAATGCAGGAGACAATTCAGGGCTAGAGATTTGATCCAGTATCTGTAAGTACAAGCTGTAAAAGAGAGCTTTCAAGGGGCCAGCAGATGATGTGGTCGTTAGGGTGCTAGATTTCCATGTGCCCAACAATGGTTAGAGTCATAGACCTGGTAGCTTGCTTTCTCACTCACTCTGGTCAAATTAAATAAAAATAATAATGAATAAACTTAAATAAATCATTCTTTTTTAAAAAAGAGCGAGTTTTGAGTAAAGAAAAGAGTGCATGGGCCACCAGGTGGCATGGTGGTTAAGGGCACTGGACTCTCACATGGCTGACTACAGTTTGAGTCCCGGATCTGGCGGACTGCTTTCTCACTTTTCTTCTCTCTCTCTTCTCTGTCTTTCTCTCACTCTGTCCCTCTCTGGTCAAATTTAAATAAATAAATAAAGTTAAATAAAATAATTCTTAAAAAAAAAAAAAAAGCACAAGGCCAATACCTACACCTGAACAAAGATAGTATTGGAGAGCAAGAAGAAATGCTGGTGACTCAGAAGGAAACCCAAAAGAGTGCAGAGCCATGGAGACCAAGGGAGATGCCTCTGATGAAAGAAATGACACGCCCAGTAAGTCTGATGCAAAAGAAAGAAGTCAACGGCAAGTGGCAGGCAGTGGGACAAATGATGGTTTGGAGATTTTCCAAACGCATACCCCAGTCAGATGGACCTGGCCTGGGCACTCCGCTGGCTCTATCACTTACTACCTAGGTGACCTCTGACAAGCAAATCATTCCCTCTAAGTTCCTTTTTCTCCACCTGCAAAATGAAGATAGTAACAGTACCTACCTCATATAGTAATTTTAAGAGTTAAAGATAATAAAACTACTTAGCAGAAAATTAAAACAGAGCTATAAATAAAGCTTTAGGCAAGTTACTTAAGTGCTATGCATCTCAGCATCACCATTTATAAAAATAGAACTGATAACACCTACCTTTCAGGGTTGTGGTGAGAATTAAATGAGCTCATATGTATGAGGTGCTCAGGACTATGCTTAACACAGCAGGTGTTCAACATGTGTCACTGCCCTTAATTAGACTGATTCGAAGAATGTCACTTGGCTTCTTTGTGTCTCAACATTTCCAATCTGCAAAACTGGTGAAATATAATAATACATGCAAGTGCTGTGAGGGTAATACGATGATATGAGAAACTTAAAACACATACACAAAACAACTTCCCTGACCCTCTACATGAGAACCTGCTGGTGTGGTGAGGTTATAGCCTATGGCCTGCTCTGAACCACCTGTTAGTACTATCAAGTGTGTGACCTGTGATTGATGGTTTTTTCTCTTTTCATTTTTTTTCTTTCTTTTTTCTTTTTTTTTTTTGGAGAGGGTTTTGCTATAGGGCGCGTGTGCTCACCCGAAAGACAGAGAGAGACAGAGAGACAGAAAGCGAGAAATCACCCCCCAGGGGGGATGGCCACGCCACAATCCCTTCTCCTCCAGTCTCCTCTCGGGATCTTGGGCACGCACGCACACGCGCCCGGCATGAGTTTTAAGCCACCGGGTCCGGGACGCGAACCGCGGTCGACTACATGGGAGTCCAGCGACATAGCCATTACACTAACTGCTGGTCCCATTGACATTTTGTTCAAAGAGAAAGAAATGTATGTGCTTGTGCTTGAAACAGAGAAGGGCAAGAGAAAGAGGAAATGAGATAAGAGGTGGGAGACAAATGTAATATTTAAAAATGTGAAGAAGCAGGAGATAAAGAATAAAGAAGGACCTGGTGGAACGGAGGAGGTCAATGGCCTTAAAGCCAAGACTAGAATGGGAGGGAGTGGTGCTGGTCTAGGAGAAGGTCCCTGTACCTCCAGCTGGCAAGGAAGTGGGAAGGATGAAGGAAACTGCAGGCCCATATGCAGGCTGACAGAGGGTCAAGGGTGCCAAGCAATTTGAAGACAGCTATCCCTACCCCGCAACACTTAGCCTATTTTCTGAGTGTATAGGTCTTCTCACAGGCGACTGCAGTTCATTTGTATCTAAGTAGGAGGGTCCTTGTCCATCTAGGTCTCTTTCTCCAAACTATCAAATATGGTCTAAAGTAGGACCCTGCTATTTCAGCAGGCCAAGCAGCCATCATTCCTGGTAAAAAGCCTTTTATTACACTTAGTAACTTCATAGTGAAACATACTTTTCAGGGCAGCACACTAATACCAGTTAAGGTGAGATCTGCTTATTTCTTAAGGAGGAAGGGCATTGGTTCACATAAAGTTTCTTTTTAATATATTTTCCTGTTTATTTGTTTTAATTTGCCAGAGGGCACCTGGACTCAGCAGAGAGGGACAGAGTCGGGAGAAGAGAGGAAGTAACCCTCACGGGGCCATGGTCATGCTTCAATCCTCTTCCTCCATCTCTCTCTCCTTTAGGGATTTTGGGCAGCCTCCCACATGTGGTCCAGCATGATTTTCAGGCCACTCAGTCCAGGACTCCAATTGCATGGTCAGTTATGTGGGATCCAGCTGCCTTAACCACTATACCATCGGCTAGCCCCAATATATTTCTTGTCTTAAATAAATGCTTGGGTTGGAGCCAGCAGGTGGCATGGTGGTTAAGGCGCTGGATTCCCACATGGCCAAATGAGTCCAGGATTTGATAGCTTGAGGATCATGCTGGGCACATGTGCAAAAATCTGGAGAGAAAAATGGAAGAGGAGGGATAGCGGTGTGGCCATGGGGTGTGTGTGTGTGTGTGTGTCTGTGTGTGTGATGCCTCAATGTTCTCTGTCAGGCGCCCATGCCCTATGACAAAATCTTTTAAAAATTTTTAAAAAGGGGACCAGCAAGATAGCGCAATGGCTATGTTGCTGGACTCCCATGTAGTCGAGCACAGTTCGAGTCCCAGATCCGGTGGCTTAAACTCACGCCGGGCGCGTGTGCGTGCGTGCCCAAGATCCCGAGAGGAGAACGGAGGAGAAGGGATTGCGGCATGGCCATCCCCCCTGGGGGTGATTTCTCCCTTTCTGTCTCTGTCTTTCTGGCGAGCACACGCGCCCTATAGCAAAAACCTCTCCAAAAAAAGGAAAAAAAAGTTTTTTAAAGAAAAAAAAAATCACCCCAGGTATGTGTGCCCAAAATCCTGAGAAAAAAATGGAAAAGGATCTGGCTGGCCATCTAGGGGAGGAGGGGAGGATTTATTACTTTCCTTCTCTTTCTCTCCCTCTTTCATTCTTTTCTCTCTTGGCAAGGACATGTGCGCTATAGCAATAAAAATAAATAAAGGTTATAGTATTTTTTAAATTGTTTTAAGTAAATTGTTTTAAGTAATTAAATGTCTGGGGTTTTCTTGTTTTTCCTTGACAACTGCTCTCTTTCTGCCTCAGGAATCAACAGGAAGGTGCCCCAGAATCCCAAGTGGCTAGACAGTTGGGCAGACTACCTCTCCAGGGCTTCAATGGACAGACTGCCTCTAGGACTCAGAGAGTTTCAAAGGGAAGAGAAGATGGGGCATATCTAATCTGGGCAGGAGCAAGGAACCCCCTAACGTTCAGTTCCCCACAGTCTCTGTTCACCCTTCCCTCAGTTGGCCCAGCTCCCTTGTCAAACCCCAGACCCTGGGGATGAGTCAATCTCCGCGACCTGATTGCAGCCCACGTGCAGTCAGGTCCTTTCTTCCCCGCCTCCCATCCCCCACC